TGCCCTTAGATGCAATTTGTTGCTGTTGTTGTTGTTTGTTTGCTTCTTAATTAAATATGTTAATAAGTTGTTGTACCGACCAACAACGCCGACATTAGTAAATGTCAATTTGAATAGAAAACCCATAAAATTAGTGCTTTGGTCATGTACCAGCTAAATATCCTCAAGTACATACTTGCGCTTGCCTTGGCCAAAATGTATGTTCGTATGTATGTCTTGACTTCGTGTCGCATGGCAAAAGGTGCAAATTTTTCAAAAAAAACGAAAACAAAAAATATGTTTTAATAAATACACGTTTTCCACTTAACCTCCATCTGCTGTTGCTGCTGCTGCAATTTTCTATGCCAAGAGGATGACAATTTATTGCATGCAAAACAAAACAAGAAAGAAGAATTTTGCAATTATTTTCCTCCTCGTCTTTGTGAGGGGCGGTGGCAACTCCCCAGAAGGAAGTACGTCACTCAAGTTAATATATTATGAAAAAGCAAAAAAAAGGTCTGCACAAAATTTGCATAGAAAATTGCAAAGACTAATTCACACATTATATTAAGAGTCAAATGTAATGTAACTTTTTCATTTTTTTTCATATTTGGCATTTTTATAGCATACTTTCAGGGCTCCCAACAATTTGTGCAACTACAAGAAAATCTATACTATTTTAACTATATACTATATTTATATTATAGTTATATCATGGTAGAATTAAAGAGTTAATCTCATTTGACATTATTTTTAATATTAGAATTTAGTAATCATTTTTAAATTGTTCAATAATTAATTAATTCCATGGTATAATTTCCTAATCGAATATGGCAACCCTTCTCCAACAAACTCGACTTGTCATTTTTCTAATAAAAATACTTTTCATACCTAAAATTTGTACATATGACAATTGACAAAAATAATAAATACCCTGTAGAAAAGTTGTGGTTATGTATCGCCATGTCACTGCTTTTGTCTACTATTTATGAGACATTATCAACGCTAAAAATTTTCTACCAATAAGAAGAAGCATAAATAATACGTTCCAGGGTTGCCACCAAGTAAGCTACATACGTGACAGCTCATTATATTGTTTACAAGCGTACAAAAGCATTTTGGTGAGAATTTTCCAGAAAAAAAAGTTGTTCGTGATAGAATTCAAGCGTGATAGTGTGATTTCTTTATATTTGGCTGGAAAACTACAAGTGGATATCGTTAGAGCACTTCAGCATTTAAATGCGAAGTAATATTTTGTGTCTCGTACCATCGCTCGTTACCGTAATACTGGTAGCGTATCCCGACGTCAAGAAAGTGGACGGAAGAGAACAGCAACATCAGCAAAAATGGTTCGAAAAAGTTAAGAAGCAGTAGCTGAAAAAATGGCTCGTGAGCTGAACATATCACAATATTCCATTCCGCAAATATTGAAAAATGAGCTCGGCGTAAAGTCATTGAAATCCCAAAAAGTGCAAGACCTTAAACCGCTACTGAAAGAAAATAGACTCAAAAGAGCTAAAGAGTTGCTTCGCTTGGCCGAAAGTAGTGAACTGCCGAATTTGGTTGTCTCCGATGAGAAAACATTCGCCACAGTTGTCCAGCAGTTTGTAAACAAACAAAATAATCGTGTTTACTTGCTTAAGAGGCCACCAGAACTGAAGCGCCGGCCATGGTGATGGTATGGGCCATTACGCCATAACAGCCGATGGTCGCTTTCCGCTAGTATTAATCGACCGTGGCATCAGAATAAATGCCGAATATTATCGCGAAAATATTCTGGAGGGTGTAATAAAGCCTTGGGCATGCAAACATTTTGGCCGCAGACCTTGGATATTCCAACAGGACTCAGCACCATCGCACTCAGCACGCCCCACCCAAGAATGGTCACAAAATGAGGTTCCTCGCTTCATTTCCAGCGCATAATGGCCACCAAAATCTGCGGATACCAATCCGTTGAACTGTTGTGTCTGGATAATGTTGGAAAGCAAGGTTGGCACTAAAAAATACCAAAGTGTCGATCACCTCAAGCAAGCCATTCGCCGGGAATGAGTCAAAATACCGCAGAGCAACATTCGGGCAGCGAGTTACGGTTTCATTGGCCGTTTGAAGGCCATAACTCGTACCAAAGGTGACCAATTCGATAAAATCTAAACTTATTCTAAAATTTGATGTTAGTTCCGACATTTTTTGCTTACATTCAATAAAATTTAAAAAAAATGTAAAAATTAAGGATTTTGACTTTGTTGCAGTTTTTTTAATCACACTCTGTATTTTTATTATATTTATTTAGGTCCAATACGAAATTGACAATATTGATCCATTCCTTCGTAACCTAAGTCAAAATATATTTAAATAATCGAACATTGGCTAAAATTACTTTTAACTTGTTATAATTTTTAAATAAATTAAATTAAAATTTATATACTATAGGGATAGTCTCATTTGCTAAAATGAATACGGCAACCCTTCTCCAACAGACTCGACGTTGTCATTTTTCTAATAAATATAATTAAAATACCTGAAATTTGTTCGTATGACAAGTGGCATATTTTACAAAAATTATAAGTTCCCTGTAGGAATGTTGGCTTAATATGAGAGACATTATCAACACACATTTTTTCTCCCAATAAGAAGAAGCATAAACAATAGGTTCGTTACTGAGTAAAAATACTACTTTCTCTGTCTCTCAAGAGAGAAAAAATTGCAAAAAATAAACGAACAGAAATTTTTAAAAAAATATTTGTAAGATAACAGCTGATCCGTCGAAAGAACTTTGACACAATCTTAGCAGCAGACATATTTTGACGAAGATTATTTGTTTTTTACATTTTCATTACAAAAATAATAATAAAACATAAATCGTTCCCATGTACAAATGTACTGTCTGCAACAAATAACAATTGTTCCTGCGCTTCCAATTGATATAGGCATTTGACACCTAAATAAATGAAATAGCTCATCATCCGCTACTAAATAATTTATTTTTTATTATTAAATTCAATAATTAAGTAAAGTAAAAAGAGTGATAAAATTGTGATATAAAAGTTCGAGCAATCATGCTACAATAAGAAGGCAAAACAGCTTAGTAAAACTAGAGAAATACAGCCCTGAAGCTATTCTATGTCAAAATTTAATTTAAGTTTTATTCATTTCATATTTTTGTTATTTTTCCTCATATTTAAAATGAATAAAATACCTGCAGTTTGTTTCAAAAATATAATCTAAACTGTTCAATCTTTCAAATTCCATGGCCAAAATTGTTAAAAAGCTGTAATGCGCTCCCCGTAATATGCGTTTCTTCCAACCATAGATTTTGAAAATATTTTGATTATATTTTTCAAAGCAGTAAATACGTACACAAAATTGGCAGAAGTACACACTACATACTTACTGTTAATACTAATATGTAGTAAAAAACAATAACAAAAAAATAGCAAAAAGCAAAAAAAATTGCCTGCACAGTTTTCTACAACTGTGCAAGTTAGGCCCCGGCGAGATTCGAACTCACGATCTCCTGTTTACTAGACAGGCGCTTTAACCAACTAAGCCACGGCGCCACGTTGCCATGTCGCCCTTCATTTAGTCATATTAGATGTGTGTCGATATGTGCGTATAGTGACAATGTTCAATATGTAGCAGAGACTTGCCTTTTCATACAGCAGTGTTGTATTTCCACTCTTGCTGTATTATATGGTAATTACATTAGTTTTGTTCCACCACATCTTTTCCTAATTATTTGCAAAGTGAAATTATTTGTAAATAGGATTTTATGTGAAAAAGAGTTAATTGAGATAATTGTCAATATTTCTTTAGCCTTCTCTCCTAAAAAATATTTTTTCTCTGCGGCAAAATTTATAAGTCTAAATTGATAAAAAAATGCATAAAATAATTTTCAATCATTTAAAAACAAATGTTTCCATTTTGGAATAAAAAAGAATAGTACTCGTATTAGGAATACGGTATTGGAAAAAACTACTTTTTGCATTTTTATTGGTAAATTTGAAGTTAGTTAAAACTCCAGCTTCAGGGTTAAGTTTTTAAAATGTATTCATTTTACCAAACCTTGCAATTATTGTGCTAGGCATACACATACAAATTTGTATACATGTTATGACATTAAAAGGCTACCAAAAGAAAAAAACTGTATTCAGGGTGATTGCTCTGCCCTACCTTACCTTTATTGTAACATAATTTCAAATAAAGATTAGCATTTTCTGAATTGTATGTTTTGAAAAAAACATTTGTAAAGGAGTAAGTACATAAAAAGCTTGAAGTCATGGCTAGGCATATTAATGTCAAATTATAATGGAAAACGACGGCAGGATTTTAGTGCGGCTCTGTAATCCCTTCATTAAATGTCACAAAATATGCCTAGCCATGACTTCTTAAGTACTTACACCTTAAACATTTGGTGGTTTTTATATAAAATGTACAGAAATGTCAACCATATGAGACAAAAATTCCATCCAAATAAGCTAAAGATTGATATGAATAATGATCAAATCCGCTTTTTCTGTTATTAAATGTATCTGTATCTTTTTATTAAGGGTCTGTTTGTAAATGTCAAAAAAGCACAAATACTATGTGTTTTAAAAATTTTTGATTTTTGAGATAATAATTTATTTAAATAATATTTAAAATAGTAATAAATAAAAAATTTAAAAACACACATGAATGTTATTGTTTTCTTTTCAATTATTTTTTCGACATGTAACAGGTTTTAAGTTTTTAAAAATTGCAAGCAACAATTTCCCATAACCAATTTTTTTGTGTTATCACTTCACTTGGCACATCACTCTTGATATTACATGGAACATAAGTTTTTATTTAATAAATTGAACCTGTAATTTACGGAAACACGCAAAATATACAATTTTACAATAAATGTGGCCATTAAACATCAACAATAACAAAAAGCCAGACAGCTGAATTAAATGACTTTGTTATCATTCCACTTTGGGTAGTATTTTGCTCATACACAACACTAAGAAGAAGCATTTGTCTTGATTCATATTTGATGCCGCCGCCGATGCAGTGTCATTCCACTTCGTTGTCTGTTTTGATATTAAGTTTATTTTTGTTGTTTTTGTTTGGTTAGAAGAATGGAGGAACTGCTGGACTTTCGCGACTTTACCGAACTGGAAGCATTTAAGTTCGACGATGAAAAGGTGTCCACGGTCACATCCAGAGAACAGGTGAGCTCTAATCTCAAGATAGCTGCCGCAGCTCTTAAAATCTCCTAAATACAAAATATGATTTCAGCAAAAAACTGAAAATTCCATAGAAAAATGTTTTGATCGCTATCTGCAGCTGCGTTACTCGGATCGGCGGATATCGAAATTCCATCGTAAAGAACATCAAAGGTTTCTCGAATGTATGTTACATCGTTTGCCACCGAATTACGAGTGTTTGGACAGTAGCAGACCCTGGTGTGTTTATTGGATTTTGCAAGCGGCTCATGTGCTAAATTTTACGTATTCTCCGGAAACATTGGAACATGTAGTTCAATTTTTGGAAAAGTATGTATGTTTGTCTATTTGTTAGATTTTCTGAACTACATTTTCCTTTTAATTTTGTAGATGCCGTCATCCTCAGGGCGGTTTTGCCGGTGGTCCAGGCCAATATCCACATTTGGCAACAACCTATGCAGCTGTAAATAGCTTGGCCATGATTGGCACGCCCAGTGCATTTCGTGCCATAGATCGTGACTCCCTGGAGAAATTTTTGTTTTCTGTACGTGAGCCTGATGGCTCTTTTCGCCTACACGTTGATGGTGAGACTGATGTAAGAGGTGCCTACTGTGCCGTTTCCGTGGCCAAACTAACAAATATGCCTGAAGAAACACTGAAGAAATTATTTGATAAAACTGGCGATTGGATTGCAAGTTGTCAAACATATGAGGGAGGTTTTGGTGGGGCACCCGATTTAGAAGCCCATGGTGGTTACACGTTTTGTGGTATAGCGGCATTGGCAATGCTCAACGAGGGTCACAAATGCCAGCAGGAACAGTTATTGGTAATAATGGGAATTACATTTACAAAAATAGAAATTATATTTTTTTTCTTGTATTTTATAGAAATGGACATTACAAAGACAGATGGCCTATGAGGGCGGCTTTCAGGGACGCACCAATAAACTAGTTGATGGTTGTTATTCATTTTGGGTAGGAGCTACCATACCCATTACCCAGGCTATTATGAATAATGATGGCAAACCATTAAAGAAAGCACTCTTCGATATTGGCGCTTTGCAGGAGTATATATTACTTTGCTGTCAAAAAGCCAGTGGTGGTCTCATTGACAAACCAGGAAAGTATGTGTTTTGAAATTACAGTTTAGGAGCCAAAGCTTAAATTCTTGTTTTTCAGACCCCAAGACCTCTATCACACCTGTTATACCCTTAGTGGCATTGCAATTGCTCAACATTCTGAATCAGCTGAAATTCCTGCAGTTTTGGGCGATCCAGCTAATGAATTGCTGCCAACGCATCCTCTGTTTAATGTACCTCCAGACGCTGTGGCCCATACAACACATTTCTATGAGCAGTTAAATAAATTACGTTCCTTTGCCGACTTCAATATAAATGATGTCGACAATGACGATGTTGTGGAAGATCCTGTAGAAGAAGTATAATTATGAAAAAGAGTTTGTTAAATTATACGAAAAAAAACATTGTATTTTTACTACTTATTTAAATGAAATGTTAAAAACTTATTTTGTAAATGTATTTTATGTATAGTGAACATGTAAACTATCCACATTTCTTTTGGGAGAATTGGGAGTCTGCATCCTGTATTATACCCCAGTCTATTACTCTCAAGAGGACCACTTGCAAAAATCAAAACAACACACACAAAACTAAATATACCTGTGTTCGTTTTAAAAATATTTTTTATCTTTAATGACCATTTAGAGGCGATACAAATAAAAAATTCTAATAAAATCGTATTTTCAAAATAATAATCGTTATCTCGTTCAAATGAATTCACGATTCCAAGTTATGGTGAATGTTTGTGGGTTTATCAAACCGGAGTTGTTAATCAACGCTAACATTTTTTTAACATTCAGACGGGGATTGTAGCAATACCTATGTCATTTACCTATCGCTCACGCTTCCGGAGAATACGTAAAATTCCAATCGAAAATGAAAATTCGAGAAAATTACAAGCTATTTTTAACAAACAAGATTTTAAAAAAAAAGCTATGTAAATGTTCAATAATAATTAAATAAATTTTAAAATGCAACTTTCTTAAGTCTCTAATTCCTTCCATTTCAATTTAGCACCATAAAATTAATCCAAATTCTTTAAAAAAAAATATTTCATATTGATACTTTAAGTTGTACAACAATTTAGTCATTGTGTTATTTTCCACAAAGTTCAGCTTGAATATATATGTCAAGCATAAACAACATAGTCCCATAAAAATACAACTCTGGGCACATATGTTTCTTGGCGGCGTTCATTGGCATCTTCACCATAAATTGTTTACATTTGTTTGGTACTGGAGAAAATTTGCAAGTTTGCGAAATATTTATTTAAAAAAATTAAGAATTTGAGTCTGCAGTAAAAAAAATAAAAAAATTTTCGAATCTTTGTGTGCACGTGTAAAATATTGAAAGTAGAAAGAAAGCTAAACTGATTGCTAGATATTATTTGGTAAGTTGCCTTTTTTCCAGAAAATGAAAGAAAAAGGAGGAACATTGGCGGGAATAATCCTAATATGTTGAAAAAAAAAAAAAAACAGTCCATTGCAGCAATGGATTAAATATTGGTCCAAGAAACTAATTAACAAAAATAGCAAATAAAATTATGGAATCGAATTATTTTCTGTCTGCTTGATTTTGCATGTTTCCACAAGAATCGTCGCAAAGCATTATTTTTTTCAAGATTCTGCGTGAACGAATTTTATAACACTTAACTAACAACGATTTTTCTACTTACAGCCCAGCCACTATTAAATAAATGAAAATGTCCACCCTGGAACTGTGTGAAAAACTGTTCGATACCAAGGATATTTACAAATTATTTCAAGTAGAGAAAACAGCCAATGAAAAGGAATTGAAAAAAGCCTATTACAAATTATCATTGTTAGTACATCCAGATCGTGTGCCGGAAGCCCAAAAGAAAGATGCCACAGAGAAATTTAAACTGCTCTCAAAGCTGTATCAAACCCTTACCGATAAAGATAAACGAGCCTTGTACGATGAACAGGGCATCATTGATGATGACGATGATAATTTGGAGGGCAAACTAAATAATTGGTTGGAATTGTGGCAGAAGATATTCAAGCCCATTACCACAGAGGATATCAACAACTATGAAAAATCCTATGTGGGGTCGGAGCTCGAAAAAACTGACATAAAGAAAGCATATCTCAATGGTAAAGGATGTATTAACTACATGATGAACTCTGTGCCCTTTATGAAGGTGGAAGATGAACCACGTATACAAGAAATTGTACGCAAAATGATTGATGATGGAGAAGTTCCCGAATATAAGATATTCACCAACGAACCAGAATTGAAACGTAAAAAACGTCACAAGAAATACGCCCGTGAATCTAAGGAAGCCAAAGAAATTTTGGCGAAAATTGAGGCCAAAAATAAGAAGAAGGCAGAAAATGGTAGCAGTGGCGGTGGCAGTCTGGAACAAGCTATTATGTGCCGACAAAAGTCACGTGAAGATGGTTTCAATTCTCTCATGGATAAACTGATGGCCAAATACGGCAATGAGGATGATGATGAAGCTATCGACCTAAATTCTTTGGGAAAGTCACGGGGCAAAAAGAAGTCCTCTGCTGGTGCAGCAAATAGCAAAGAAAAATCGGATAAAACATTACATACAGTAAAAAATGGCAAAGTCAAAAAGCGCAAGGAGTAAAGTAAAAGACACATATAACAATTTAATCGAATTCATTTATGTGTTCCAAAATCGGCTACAGTGAACAATCAAATCATTGATTGAGTGGAAAATACTTTGTCCTTACCAAAAAAACGAGCCTTTTAATTAACTCGCAATTGATGGTCATTATATTTTTTCAATGTAGGCTTTGGAACAAATATTCAAATAAAATTAGAAGTAGCGGTTCTATCCTTGTATATGCGTAGATTTTAAAACCTATTATAATAAATTACTAAATAGATCGAGACATTTGTCCTTAATAAGTAAGATTAGTTTTTGTTATATTTCGTATTTCGCATAATTATTTTTTTTTAAAAATGTCCTGAATATATTTCGGACTGATTGGCAAATAAAATATGTGGAAAAATTATTTTTGATTTTTTTTATTGATATTCATGAAAAAATGAAAAATTCATTGTTAAAGTTAACAACAGTTATAATATTAAAATGCAAAATTATGAGTAAAAAGTCTAGATTAAAGTTGACAGTATTGTTGCTGTGCATTGAACTTATGACATGTCACAAAATATGCGGAGACTTCAAGCTGCGTATTTAACCACGTCTTAATGTGTTAGTTTTTGGATTTATATTTTATTCTTCCTTAATAGAGGGTATAAAAGGTGTGAAATTACAAAATATTTAGTCGGAAATAAATATAAATTTCTTCCTTGTTGAACGCCCATATCTAAGGAAGAGTTACAAAATATAAATCTGACAATAAAAGTCTATCTTTTAAAAAGTGTTATCCTATGATTACAAAAGATTAACATTTTAACCGTACCATGGTTTACAACAAATGTTAAAACACAAGAAGAAGAAAAAAGGCTCTACAAACGTTGGTCAGACGCGTCGGACAAAAATTTAGACTTTGAGCAGATGTGTTGGACGACCGACATTTTGTTTGCTGGGTTTGTACAGAGTACACCAAAATCACAACCTGCCGCCGTCGACTGTTTCACACATAAAAAACCGTCGCCGTCGAAAAAGTCACTCCGCTTCGTGGTCTGCTCTCGAGGGACAACAATCAACAAAAAAATTGTAATTTTTTAGTTTATGTTGTTCGAAGCGCCACAGAAAAATGTCAAATAAAAGTAATCACAAGTGTCGCCTCTGTTTGGTTGATTGCGATTCAAATAAAATGCAAGATTTATTCACAAAAGCAGAAACTAATTGTAGGGACCCAGAAGACATGCGAGCCGATGATGATTTCTCCCAATTGCCTTTGGTTGAAAAGGTGGAATATTGTTGTGGTGTCAAGGTAACGTAGCATCAAAGTGCAAAGAATTCAACAACACCAACAAATAATAACAATTATTTACTTTACCATACAGTTAATTTCCAAACCGCATTTGCCCACTAAAATATGTACCAAATGTTTGAATATCGTACATATGTGGTCCAATTTTCGACAAATGTGTCGCAATTCCCAGGCATTCCTGGCCTCACAAATACATTTGTCCATAGAGGAAGACGTTGTGGTCGGCAGCATAAAAAACCTGCAAAAAATGCGCAATGAACTCCTCAAGAAAACCGAGGAACAACAACACAAAAGGGAACAACAAATTGCATCACAACATATCAATGCCACAGATACACAAGCCGATATTGATTATATCGTAGAAGAGGTCGATGAACCAGTGGAAGATGAAGATCCGGTGTTCAATGATGATTACGACGATATGTATGACGAAAATTTCGATAATGACGATGATACTCATGATCCAGACTTTAAGCCTTCCAAAAACAATGCCAACAAATATCAATTCGATTTATCAAAGCTCAATCAAATTGATTTCTCTGAAATATTTTCACCAGATGATTTTGCCGAGGCGTATGACTATTTAAATGCCGATAATGACGATGAATTGGAAAAAGTTATAGAACACTGTGCCACCAAGAATGTTGCTTTACAAACTCTCAGGCGTAAAGCCATAATCTCAAGAGCAAAAGAACAAATTGCCCCAAAGAAACACCCGCAGTACAAAAAGAAATCCAAAACGGAAAAATTACCGAAACCTTCAATGTTTATGTGCAACATTTGTGGTAATGTTTACAGCAAGAAACCCCTATTCCAATATCATATGCGCATGCATTCCGATGTTAAACCATATCAGTGCGAGTAAGAAAGTTGGCTTTATTTCAATGTTAATATCATTATAAACAATTTGAATCTTTGCAGAATATGTAACAAATCCTATCGTATAATGAGCGATTTAAGGAATCACATGTATAGGCATACGGGTGAAAGACCATTTAAATGTAAATTCTGCGATCGTCACTTTATGGACCGAAGTTCGCGACATCGCCACGAAAGGTACCTTTAGATTGTTTGCCTTGTTATATTTTAATACAAACAAAATATGTACTTTTGATCTAAACAGAGTTCACACCAATTCCCGTCCCTATACATGCAATGTATGCAGCAAGAGTTTCACTTATTCGGCTATTTTAAAGAATCATATGAAATTGCATACTGGCGAAAAAGATTACATGTAAGCACTTACATATTGTGTGTGACAAATGTATTTTATTAAAATGTTATATATCTTCTCTTCAAACAACAGATGCGCTGTCTGTAATAAATCATTTACACTGGCCCATCAGCTAAAGGCCCACATGCTGACACTAACACACAGGCAGAAGGAGGCAGCTTTCGAAGCTCAAGGTTATAAAGTAATATTTGAAGCAGTCGAAATGACAAAAACAACAAAAAATTAGAAAATATACATATTATTATATGTGAAGGTATTATGTGGAGATTACTATATTGAAAATAGTAAAGGGAAAAATGTTTTTTTTTTGTACATATTTTTTTGAAATTCTATTCATTAGAAATTAAAAAATATATATTTTATCCCCACTAGAAAATAAATAGGAAGTTACAGACTATTTAAATAGATTTGCTTGTAACTTGTGACTCGCAATGTGGCTACAGTGTATCTTGAAACAAAATTTTAAATGTACAATGTAAAGAGCACCTTATGCACTATATTGCATGAATGAAAGACGTAACAAAGTTAGATAAGGCCCCTAAAAACTCTACTGTTTCAGTGAGGAACCATAGCTTTTTGAATCTTTCCGTTAAATCAACAAAACCTAAACATTGGCTTTGCTCCCACCCAAATAAAGGTATGTACTTTAATATGCACGTTTTCATAAAGCGTATAAAACGGTTGTTCCTTTAATAGTCAATAAAATTTGCCATTCATTTTGTTCATTTATGAAACAAAATAACCTACTTTCAAGGAATTTAAAGAAATCTGTACGTCATTTGTCGTATGTAAACTAAAACCTTAATCATTCCTATATACAACTGAAACTTCCAAGGAGTTGTTAATCAGTCCCTTTCCTACCATATAGTGCCCTATATTATGGTCGGCGTTTATTTGATTAAACTGACTTTGTCTCTTACAATTTTTCCTAACGCCGTTCTGACAAATGTTTGGCTTAGTTATCTTGTGATCAAAATAACGGGCTTTATTTTGAATTGCCCCGGTATTTTTGGGGTATGTCACTTTTGACAACTAGAAACTGCACCATTAATAACGATGGAACGAAGCAGGATTCACAAACCTACTGAAATGATAAAAATTCACTTGCAGTCAAAGTTTGTAAACAAGTCTTTTGGAGTCGTCATCATGCTAGAACAATACGGATGAGAGCAAATATTGTTTTGTACGTAGTACTACCACACTTTTCACCGATTATGTTCAGAGTATGTAACGGATCCTACATCTGATAGCTGAACACTGTCCTTTCACGTTTTACTATAGCACGAATTTAACTATCTTCTATGAAAAATATTACTATTACAGGTCAGCGTCTTCGTATAGCCCCCATAATCTGTATTTTGATGATTTTAGCGACATTGTTTACCGGAATTGTTCCGAATTTGGAACGTGAAGTTCGATATGGTTTATACCTCCTATTACAGAAAATTGTATGTGCAGGTCCACGTATTGGTATTTGATGTTGACAATATAAACTTCTCTGAAAAAAATTATCTACACAGGTGCGTATTTTCGTATGACCCCATATATAATTTTACCCAGGTAAATTTCATATTTTGATGGTTTAAGCCACATTTTTGGAATAAATTGTTTTAATTTTTGTTTACGAATTTAGTCGATTTTTGCATCATTGTTTAACGGAAATATCTCGAAATTGATATTTGGTGTTCACAATAGGCACCCCCTTCTCTGAGATATGATTGGCTATACAGATCCATGTTTTCATATAGCCCTCATATAACTGTATCAATCGATATTTGGTATGTAATTATTTTAGAATCTTCCAAAATTCCTTCCAATTGATGGAGTGCATTAAAAGTTCGGCATCGGAACCTAGCCGCTTTTTTAATTTTCATATGAAGCCACACATGCTTACAGCAAAACATCAGAAAAATGAAGCTGCCTCCAAAGGAATAAAAACAACAGTCAGTTAAGAAAATAGCAAGATGCTAAATTTATCTATTTGTAAATATAATAACTAGAACATAAAGAATACTAAAAACTACTTAATTTATATGCGTACTCTTACACATTATTGATTATTTACATATTGCTTAGTTATGTTTGTTTTGTAATATTTACGCATCTATGTATTTAGAGTGTTTGGCCGAATTTTCTACCGCCTTATGTAGACTTGTATTTTTGTGAGCTTTTAATTGATGAGCAAGTTTAAAGGATTTCGAACATGGTTCACACCTAGATATATGGAGAAAAAAGAAAACATTAAGAATAATTACATTATTAGCGATGGTATGTTGAGAGACTCAGATGTGTCTGAAATTTAAAATATCAATAATAATTCCAGACGGCACAACCGGTACGACAATGAATTTAGTATCCAAAATACTGAGTCAAAAGGTGTTACAGCCGACAAAAAGGGAATATCTTTTGAACATAAATAATTATCAGACAGATTTGAGCCTACTAGTTACAAAGCAAACTGCTTACCTAAATGGCCTTTCACCAGTGTGGACTTTTAGGTGAGCCTGTAAAGTAGTTGCCAGAGCAAACGATTTGCCACAATCGTCGCAAGTAAAAGGCTTTTCATTAGTATGAATTCTGGAAATATAATGATGAAGTTGAATTAAAATATGTTTCTTTTTTTTTCAAACAGGAACATACCTTTCATGTCTTATGTGTGTACTTCGATCGGAAAATCGTCTTGCACAAAATTTACACTCAAATGGTTTCTCGCCTGTATGAACTCGCATATGAGCCTGAAGATTACAAGCTGTTATAAATCGCTTAAAGCATATCCTAAAAATAGATAGAAAGCAGTGTTATTTATTTAACATACTTTTAACAAATGTTGCTGATCATAAGCTTACTCGCATTCATGGGTTTTTTCTTGACGATGAATTTTCATATGAACATTCAAAACTTGACGGCTGTTGAAACTATTTCCACATATTTCACAGGTAAGGGGTGATGTACTAGATTGTGATTTCACTTTGCCACTTGTGGTCTTCTTAGATTGATGTATCCTTAGGGGTGCCTTATGTTCATAATTTAATGTTACATTTGAATTTTTACTAATCTTTGATGGTTCATGTATTATGAATTCATCTATTTCATATTCGATATCAATATTTTGCTCTGAATTAGTTGAATAGGCAGATTCAAAATAAACATCTTCCTTGGTGATAACAGTTGAAGTAACATTATCATCCTCATCATCGTTATCTTGGCTATCTTCGTCAAATTCTTCCAATAGCTCTTCATCGTTATCTTCTTCGTTCCTTTCCTCAGAAAATGACACATATGATATATTTTCTTCGGATAGCTGATTATTCTTCATATTTGCTGGTTCATTTGAATTAATATCCTCTTGAAGACCATCATTGCTTATTATATAATAAAGGGATTCATTTGCTTTTTTAATACTATTGTCTCTACAATCCCCTTCTGGTGCTGAATCAACGGTGAAGTCATTTTCAAATGTTTCACTGTCAATCATTTCTTGTACCTTTAACATTTTTGAAGAAAAACTCGTGGAATTTGCATCAAGATCGGGGTTTTCTGATGAAACATTATCGCCAGTGGCTAAGTCTATTGTATGACCAAGTGCGGAAGTGCCTGATGGTACCTTTGGGGTCTCATCCATTGCATTTGTGAAAAAATCTAGTGGTTCATTAATCACTTCATCCTCCACACTCATGACTTGCTTTTCATTTTTGGTGCTAAAATCACTTTCAACAAATTTCTGTTCATTTTTAATTCTTTTTTCATCACAATTTCTTTCTGGTTCTATTTTACGCTTGTTGCCGCATTCCTTTCGTTTCTTGTGAAGATAGCGCTTCTCCTCCTCTGCAATAACTTCTTTAGCCTCCGATACAATTTCTTCGTCTTCCAGTTCAGCATCTTCATCGCATATATTATCATCAGATTCGCTTACTGTTACAATATCTTTGCTTCGATCTTTTTTAAAGAAATTTGTGGCAGATTTAGTTTGTTCCAAGACTGATCGGAGATTTGTATTTGATTCCCGACATGTCTTACGAAAATATACAGCCTGTTTCAAAATTGCAACACATTTTCGACATATCTTGTCAGGTAGTCCATCATTAGGGCTCATCTGAAAGTGATTCAAGGAAATTAAACATGCTATGACTCTATGCGGCCAATACTCACTGCAATACCAGAGGAATCAAATATATCTTTGGCCAGCTTTTTGTTGCCTTCATGCTCTTCAAAAATTGGTATCATTTTTTCATTCTCTTTATGAGTTTCCTCCTTCAGGCATACCCTACATATATTCCACTTTATGCTAATTTCCATTTCGGAAGATATCGATATACTGATAATTCAATAATATTATTCTATTAAATGAATAATAATAAAAACAAACTTCTCCCCAACCAAACAAAAACAAGAAACTAAGCGTCGTTGTCCATTGCAGTGACAGCAACATTCCCAGGTCAGGCAAAAAGTAATGTCGCCGTCGCCGCATGGGTGATCTGCCACCATAATAGTTGCGTGTGCTTACGCCATAATCACTACAACAGCGTTACCTAAAATTCGACGTATGTGGTCGACGTTATTCACCACACAAGAGTTGTGTTCCAGTACTTTTTTAGTAGTAAAACTATCAGAAGAGAGAACAGTTCGAAATGTCATTCTCATTTAGGTTTGCTCAAAAAATAAGGGAACGGAAAATTAGCAGAAATGCGATAAAATGTCAAAATTCAAAGTTCCAAAAGTAAACAGCCTAAACCGGACTGGTGAAACCTTACTGAAAAGGGCGCCAACATTTAAAAAATGAGTATTGAAGACGATAAGTTAAAATTAATAATTTATAATAATAATTACTAATCTGATTCCTCATTCAGCCAGTCCTCTTCACTGCTGGAATCATCCAAAAGTGAATACATCAGTTGCTCCATATTTTCTCTTTTTGTTTTTTGCACGACAAATATTAGTTTTTCCTTTAGTTTTCAAGTTGATCATTTTTTTTATTGAAATGTATCAATACATTTTTCAACCTTGTTAGCCCTGCCAATTAAATGTCAAATTTACAATATGCACATTTCTGCTCGGCCAAATTCATGTAGCTAAAACAAGCAGAAATGTGCACCACTCAGCGCCATTTTTTTCTCGAGAGAGCTGCAAGTTTTGCTAGTTTTTGGAGTACGGGAACGCGTTGTAGCAGAATTAGTGCTAATTAGTACTAATTTGCAGGTTCTGGAACACAACTAAGATAATTACATGAATTTATGCCTTATGTCTATAATTTAAAAAGTTTTTACCAACCTAAAATAAAAATTCGCTTGAAATGTGTGTATTTTCTTTATATTTGACAGCAATGCACAACAAAAGTAGACTATAGGAGAGTTCGTTTACTCGTTAATTTGTACAAATTTGCACAAATGAAAAATAAACCATTTAATAGTTTGTTCATTTAGCTAAATCCAGCTAAAAAATGTGCATCCAAGGGACACCATTGCTCATGCTTATATTAATTGAAGATGCTGGAATAATAGTTATTTGTTGTAGACGGCATTTTTGTGCATTAAAACTTTTTTGTGTTTTAAATTATTATTTTGTGCTATGAAAATGAAAAAAACATATAGACTGCATCAAAAAATATCTGCTGTTAAGGTTTTGGCCAAAGCTGTTTTGATGAATCAGCTGTTTTCTTACATATGTTTTTCAAGATGTTATTCGTTTACTTTGTACATTTTTTTTCTCTCGAGAGAGAAGAAATATTTTTTCTCTGTAACTTCTTACTGCGTAAATGTTACAGGAAATTTAAACGTAAGAACCTTATATGAGGCAATATGACTGTTACCGATGAAATCTTTGGCTTTAATCGAGATCTTAAGGTGCAAGCACATAAAGAGTTTTTTTTTGATTGGCTTAAGTCATATGCTGGCTTCTTTGGAAAAGAACAAAGGAGTGTAGGGCCGAAATCGAACTAAGTCAACCTTATGCTAGGAACACAATTGGAGCGAACGACGAATTTCGCCCTACGCGGCGACAAAATGAGCCGCGAAAATTCGTCGTATGGAACACAATACCGACGAAATTATAAAACAGCTGATGAAGTTGTTTACTTTTTGCTCATTTGTTGACTACAATGAATTATACAAGAACACATAATTCTTTACGTTCTCTATTATAATTTCATTTATGTCCATCTTCTCTATTATAAATTCACTGATATCCATCTTCACTCAGGCGCAAGTACACAAATAAATAAACAAATTAATTATTTTTTTTTTATACGAGTAACAGATAGTAGAGTGACCATAACAAATTTTAAAGTAAAAAGTAACTTTATTTACTAAAACACATAAAATTCGTACAAGTATGGCCACCTTGTACTGTTTTGTTCGCCGGTCGCCGGCGTATGAAATAGAAATAAAGCTAATTGAGTTCGCGGCGACCGACGAAATTTTCGCCAGTGCCGTGATTGTGTGCACTTCCATATACACATATGTGTTTTATTTTTGACGACGAACATACGCCGCGAAAAAATTCGTCGTTCGCTCCAATTGTGTTCCTAGCATTAGACTCCCAGTCAGAGAAGCGTTTTATGTATTCTCACCTTTAATTCCATTACACATTGTTTTGCATAAAAAGACCAGGACATACTATCTAAAGTTGCATGTGGTTTAAACATGTGTTTGAAGATTGGATTATCTTTTTTATGTATTTGCAGTCGATTTCACAACTTTTTTTATTCTTTGCTTACAATTAACGTTTGACCCAAAACAAAAAAAAGAAAAAAAAAAAAAACAAATTGATATGATTTTTTATTTTACTTGTATGATATGATTTTTATTTTACTTGTATGTTATACATTTATATTACATATAAATAATGATAGGACTAATAAAACACTTGTGATTTTGGATAGCACAAAATGTAAAGAAACTTAAAAAACGACTTATTATATTGTTAAACATTTTAAGGAATTAGTAACATTTGCGTCTCTGTGCATAATATTTATATGTATAAGTGATATCAGTCTCCTAGTAAACCAAGTATATTAAAAAGTGTAACCTATTGGCCACGAAATTAGAACTACATGTTATGTAAGCTGTAATATAAACGAAAATAGGCCTTTTTAGCTATGATTTTGATTGAAAACTATGATCTGATCCAAACATAGTGGAAAAATTAAAAAAAAAACATTCCTGGGATTAAAGCCAAATGAACTCCGCGTATCAATGCCACCGTCAATATCGTGGTCTTGCTGTCAAAGGAACACATAATTCAACGAGTGCATTCTGTTTTTTCTTTAGATTAGGCAACGTTTATGTATTTTTTTCAATATCAGGATGGAGCAGTAAAGAATAGTTTCACATTATACTGGTATCATACTTTTATGCATGTTTGGAAAGGTAAGGGTGGAAATACATAAAGCGCTTACCTGGCTGGCTTAAGTCATCGGCTGGCTTCTTCGGAAATGAACAAAGGAGTCTAGGGCCAAAATCGAACTAAGTCAACCTTAAACTCCTTTGTTCATCTACGAAGAAGCCAGCCGTCAGTCGCTTATCAACCTTTGTTGACACTAGACTTTTTCGCGCTGGTCGCTTTTTTTCTTTACAAACAAACACAACAACAACAAATCAACACAAAATCAAAACACAAACAAACCTCCATTTTTTTCTTTTATCTTGGTTAAAAACAATTTTTGTGAAATTTTTGCCAAGTTTTTTTTATTTAAACAATTATGGAGGGAGTCGGAGACCCCCCTCCTCCACCTGTTCCCCCGCCACCTATTGGGGATACCAATAAAAGAAGAGCCAAAAACATTGAAAATGATAATAAAAGTTTTAAAAACAATAATGGCCAACCAATAAAAAACACCAACACCAATAAAATAATTTCATCCCAGACCACGGACAAAATGGACACCGAATACAATTACAATTCGCTAAATGATGGAAATGTACTGTATACACCAAACCATCCAGGGCCATTTTATGTCATAGTGTCGTCAGAAACGCCAATCAGCTCTAGGAGAAAAAACTGCGAACTCCATTTGTATATACGTCTAAAGCAAATCAATCTCACTAACTATGCTTGCAAGTGTGTGGGATATAACACTTTTAGAATGACGTTCAACAATTTTGAATCTGCCAACTTATTTGCCACAAATCCCAATTTAAAAACTGTTGGATTAAAGGCATACATCCCAGAGAGATTTGTTCAACGTTTTTATATTATCAAAAATGTACCTACGTGCCTTTCTGCAAATATTATAAAGGAAGAAATTATGCAAAACAATGAATGTATGGAAGTAGTCTCAATTTATCGCTTTACTAGGAAAAATGATTCTGGTTTAATCGTACCCACAGAAACTATAAAGATTGGTATTATTTTTGATGGAATTCCTACGAAAATATATATGTGTGGAACAAAAATAACACCGGACTTGTATGTACCACCTGTTCGGCTGTGTTTAAACTGCGGCCGTTTAGGCCACATTGCTCTTCGTTGCAGGTCGACGAAGAAGTGTCTAAGCTGTGGAAAAGAAATTCTATGTGCTACAAATTGCAGTAAGGAAAATAGATGTTTAGATTGTCGTTCTACAACAACCTGCAAAGAACTATGCATGTCTCCAAGATGCATACTTTGCAACAAAATAGATCATCTTGCAACAGATTCCAAAAATTGTTTGAAGTGGAAGTCTGAAAGAAATATTAGCAGCATTATGGCCCTAACAAACCTATCTAGAAGGGAGATTCTCCAAAATTACCCAGAAACAAGAAATCGTTTCCAAATTCTTTCTGAACATGATTTTAATAATGAGTTCCCGCCTCTCTTAACAAACAGGACTCCAAAAATTAATATACATGATGCAATCAACAAAAAAATTACAAGTATTAAATATAGCAAAGTTGCGGCTCCAATAACGAAAAATCAACATGCCATTGCAAGCCCAATTCATGTAAATCCAACGAAAGCAGTATTTGATCATCAAAATTTTTCTAAAGTTACTGAAATAGAAAGAGCATTAGCATCATTTTCAAGGCAAATGTCCACAATACTTACGTCTCTTAACTGCACAGAAGGTCTTGATGTTTTAAAGAAATTTCAACAAATAGTCATTCCAGCATCAGCAAACAACCAAAGCCCATATACATCAGAAGCCAATGAGGAAAGCCAATTAGTAACATCCTGAAAAAGATAAAGTGTGATCAATCTAAAATAACTGCAAACAAATAATAATAATTTTTTTTTCAATTATCCATGAACATCTTACAATACAATATACAAAGTCTTAAAAAAAACAAAAACTCTCTGGACTTCCATTTAAGAAAACTCAACATCGATATATGCTTCCTGAGTGAAATTTTCAATATAGATGAAAAACAAAATTCAACAACTTTTCAAAATTATAATATAGTTTCAAAAAAGAGAAAAGATAATTATGGTGGCGTCGCGATAATTTTAAAGAAAAATATTCAGTTTAAAAGAATCTCTTTTCAATCAACACTTGACATACTAATTTGTCAAACCACTAATTTAAACAACAATCTCACTTTAGTTGCTGTCTATTTTCCACATTCCGTAAAAAGCATAACCATTAAAAATGAACTTGAAAAAATAACATCCTTCCTCAACTCTAATCCAAATACATTTATCTGTGGCGATTTTAATGCTAGACATTCGGCCTTTGGTGATTTTTTTGATTCGCAACGTGGAAAAATGCTTAAAGAATTTTTTGACTATTCAAACTTTCGATGTTTAAATGATGGAAGTTACACTTTTAAAAAACGAATCAATGACAATACGGGATCTGTTTTAGATCTATCATTTACCAACTCAACTCTGTCACTATCTTGGAAAGTTCAAAAAACAATAATTGGAGGAAGTCACCATCTCCCAATAATTCTGAAATTGAGCGATACTATTTGCCACGGCAAAAAGTTCTTAGCGAAAAAAAAGCTTATAAGAAATCTTGCAATATTAAAATTAAATCCGGACTTCGAGGAAATCAACTTCGCCATGCAAGCTGAAATCAAAAAAGCTACATATGTTATTGATAACAAAAGAAATCCAAAACCTTGGTGGGACCCTTTTGTCGAAAAACAATTCAGATTGCAAGTAGCCGCGCAAAAGAAATATGATTTGCATAGCAATGACACTAATGCTCTTAATCTTTTCCAAGCCATTAAAAATTTTAAAAACGCCACAAAATATGCAAAACGACAATCTTTTAAATCAAAAATTACAACTTTAAATATGGAGCCTAACTCAAAATCATTATTTCGTCTGGTAAAAGGATGTAAGAACAGTTTGTCATGCAATAACGGTGGGAAATGGTCCGAAAATAACAACAAAATATTTTTAATACACCTAAGGGATCAAGTCTTGAACAACAGCCACATTACCTTCCCTCCAAACACGCAAAGAACACCCGTCGAACTCACAATGGAAGAATTCTCATCTGTCTTAAACAGAAAGAAAAAACCTTCAGCAGCAGGATTAGATGGCATAACATATGAGATGATAAATAACTTATCAGAATCATCTAAATATAATCTTTTTCAAGCAATGAATACAGCTTGGAAAAAATGTGAACTAAGAGAAAATTGGCGAAAAATCAAAATTGTTCCAATCCCAAAGAAAGGAAAAGATCTGGAAATATTCACAAATTTTCGACCAATATCATTAATATCAGTTTTTCTCAAAATTATAAATCTTATGATCAAAGAAAGATTACAGTCATTTCTTCAGGAACAAGATATTCTTCCGACCAACACATACGCATACAGGAAAAACTTCTCTTCATCCATGTGTATCAATCATTTACTATACACAATAAATTATCATAAGGAAAAAGGAGAAAAAGTAATTCTACTGTCTATAGATATTGAAAAGGCCTATGATTGCGTAAATCTATTAATTCTTTATAAAATTTTGTCCGAGATAAACTGCCCGGAGGATATCAAAGATTGGACAATAAACTTTCTTAAAAAACGCACAATTGTTATGGGCAATGAAATGATAGATATATATAATGGATTACCTCAAGGCAGCTGCTTAAGTCCAATACTTTTTAATATATATACGCTTGGTCTACATGGAATTGCAGATCAAAACACATATTTATTTCAATTTGCGGATGATTTTATTTTACTATCCACTGACAAGGAATTTGAAATGGCAAATGAAAATCTACAACATAAAGCGAATCATTTTTACCATATTTTATCCCGCTTGAATCTTAAATACAACCCTGATAAAACCTTCGTCATGTATGTAGCAAAAGGCCCCCGTAAAATCCCAAATATAAAGTTACAAAATACAAACATAAACTCTGTTGAAAAAATAAAATTTCTGGGAAGATATATTAAAAACAGTCTATCGCTAAAGGAACACTATGATGAAGTAATGAATTCCTGTACCAACTCACTAAACGCATTAAAAATGATAAACAACGCCAAAAACGGATTACTCCCAAACATATCAATAAATCTAACAAAATCCCTAGTGTTCTCTAAGACAGAATACGCAATATCATCTATGGCCCACATGCCACAATATCTCAACAAAAAGCTAACTAGCTTTCAAAATCAAATGCTTAGAAGAAGCCTTGGACTTACCCCTTCCACACCAATACACAACATCTATGCACTGGCTGTTATGCTTCCTCCTGAACAACGTTCTCAGTATCTTGCAGCTAAAGAACTAATAAAATTCAAAATGTATAACAATACACTGTACAACTGCATCACCACAGATTCCTCTGTAAAAACAAGTTTGGGTTTTATCTACAACAAATTTAAACACATCCTTGACCGAACTATGGTAAATCAAAAAAGGACACCTTCAAAGAAAATAAGCTTTTTAGATGATCTCTTTAAGGCAGTAAAATACTCCAAGTCCAATGAATTTTTTAGAGCAATTCTTCAAGAAAAACTAGTCTGTTTAAAAAACCAGGGTCATTCCATATGGTCAACTGATGCATCAGTCACAGACAGTAGTACAGGTTGTGCGGTCTGCAACATATCAATGAAACATAATTATGCTTTCAGAATAACATCAAAAACCTCTTCTCTAATGGGAGAACTACATGCCATAAATAAAACAATTGATATAATGATCGAGGAAAACACGCTCAAAGCAGTCATTCTTACGGACAGTAAAAATGCCTGTCTTACACTCAAGACAAACACACACCATAATTATCTAGCAAACGACATAATTCACAAAATAAACAATTCTAACTTACAATCTCTTATTTTCATATGGACTCCCTCGCATATTGGTATACCAGCAAACGAACTCGCAGATTATTTCGCCAAACACGCAGCCACAGCTGGCTGTATAATCACCACCAATGCTTCAATTACAGACGCATACTCTGCCATTTATGATCATCTATGGAAAGAATGGGTAGATAAGTACAAGGATGCATCCGAAACTAAGGGCACTTACTTTTCACAATTCTTCAACACACCACCAAAATCATACTGGTTCACTGGCTCAAAGATGTCACCTGGTAATATAAAGCTAATAAATCGTTTACTCACTGGACACACTTACGGCAAAATATACTTACATCGCATTAAAGTCGAGGCCTCGGACATCTGCACACTTTGTGGAATCACTGAAAGTGAGGATCACCAAATTTTTCATTGCCCAAAATTCTGTAACGAAAGGAAACAATTTAAAATCTTCGAAAGGTACAAGGACTTACCATCAATTTTAAAAACCTTCTCGCCAGAAAACTTCGTCGAACTGTCAAACTTCATTCACAAATGCAATCTTCAACTCTGATTTTCTCTGTGAGATAGCAGAAACATAAACAAAACAAAGAATACGATTATTAAGTAATCAATAACCTAGTAATTTGGCATATGTGTACTTCGGGTACCTGCCAACCATGACGAAGAAGGAGAAAGAGAATCAAAAAAAAAAAAAAGAAGCCAGCCGATGACTTAAGCCAGACAAATATGCTCTTTATGTATTTCCAGCTTAATGAAGATATAAAATTAAAGAATATGTAAGAAAATGGACAATTAAGGTAAACATTTTCAAATATTTAATGGTATTTATGCCATACCTCATCTGAAAAGTTCAGAAACATACATAAAGAAAATGCTAATGTGTATAAAAAAGCAACTGAACATAAAACACTAATATCAAGTGTAAACTAGACTTTTACAATTAGTGTGCAAGGTAAAGAGACTACCAGACGGAATGCGTTTTAAATGTGTGCTGTGACTTTCATTATCCATTGCAATTTTACATATGATTCGTTTTTCCATATTTTTTGACTACATTGTGAATATATTATATTTTATATAAAAGAACTTAATATTTTACATGAATTTTTGTCGCATATTTCGTTATATATATTTTTATACAAGAAACAAATAAAACTATTGATTAAATTATAATTTTCCGATGAAAATAGGACGTGCTGTGATCGAAAACATGTAAAAAACATTTCGTCTAACCATGGTAGAAGAATATAGGTAGATGCATCAACGCTTGGGAACATTCATATGTCAACAATTATTGTCGAAAATAAGTATATCTTTATAGGTTTTCTTATACGACGCAAATCAGAGGTTGTAATGATATGTATTTTCAACAATTTTTACAAATTTCAATAATTTTTCATTCAACATTTTCAATTCCAAAATTGGTTTGACAGTTCATTGTCCCAGCAGCTGAGTCGATGCGTCTACCTATATTCTTCTACCATGCGTCTAACAGAGTCTTAACTTGGCTTTACAATCAGCTTTGCACTCTAACACTGTGTTCACACTACGGATGATAAAAATGAACTTTTATTTGGTGACCTTGTTATAACGGGATCCATATTTTATTATAGGTCCAAATATCCTTATTCTGCGGCCAATATACATCATATGAAAAAAGGGCAGATCATGATTTATTTTAATTATACAATATAAAGCCACGTTTACATTTACAAGGTTCATATTATACATTATGTTAAAGTCATATGTAAAGCGACATTTTCTAAATTTATTTTTTTGACTTTTTATAGCCTGAAGCTTTAAAAAAATTTTAAATTAATAAGAATTGCTTTTAGCATAGTATCAGAAATACATTAATTACATAAGTATAGAGTAAAAATTGTCAAAATGGAAATTTGACAAGGTAAATTACAAAAAATGCAGGCATGGATATGCTTATTTTTAATGTCTTTATCTTATTTATTTTACCATGGTGTAAACATGGTTTAATTATATGATATAGTCATGGTAGAAGAATATTCTAGTATTGTATACAAGAATATAAAAATGGTTTTTAAGGGTAAAAGGGTGCCATTAAGAACTTAAATTTAATGTGTGAAAATGTCACTTTACATATGACTCTATCATATTGTGTAATCTGGCCTTAGATAAACAAAAATAAGTTAGTTAGCGAATTGCATAAAATAACTTTTGATTTTCTGCTTTACCAAATTATAGTATGACGTTTACACAAGACAAATTGCTTCCATATAAATAGTATAACTGTTTGGCATTTTTCAAAGACAGAAAATGTCAACAATAAAACATGAACTCTCTACTCGTCTTTTGCAAAGTCAGATGGCTAAACTCATTTATAGAGGTATATTATCCCACTGCGTGGTGGTAAATGAGTTTTGCAATGGATATTTTCATAGAACAAGAATCCAGTCACATTATTATTATTCAATTAATATTTTACGAATACAATTGATGACAAATAGCATTTTGTTCGAAAAAAATTAAATGTATATAGCAATGGTGTATTTATCAAGATTTTCTTGTTAACAATTTTTCAAAATGTATATACATATATGCTCTGTTCCAGAACCTGCAAAAATTTTATAGTTTTGCATTTTTTTTCAAATATCATGAAGAAAAAATTATTTATCGTAGTAAAAAAGTTTTACATCCTTGCAGTACTGGATTCATGGCAGAAGAATACAGGTAGATGCGTCAACGTTTGGGAACATTGGTATGTTAAAAATTAAAAATGTTGTTTTTTTTTCGAAACTAAGTAGAAATTTATATGTGTTCTTATACGACACCAATCGGAGGCAGTTATAATATGTATTTTTCAACAATTTTTACAAATTTTAATAATTTTTCATTCAAAATTTTCAATTTCAAAATTGGTTTGATAATTCATTGTCCCAGTAGCTGTATCGATGCTACTACCTGTATTCTTCTACCATGACTAGACACAACATATGTTTTTCTACTGCATTAAAGTAAGTCATACGTCATATACGTCAATAAATATTCACTGAATTTATAAATACAATTTACGTGACGCATATACTATGAAATTGACATCTGAAATTGAGTGGATTTGTTAGTCTAAATGTTATATTTACATAAAAGTTGTTTTAATAAAACTCATAACTTAGATTATAGATAATAAATGTCGTACATTCTCTTACAGAGAAATAAAACAAGATGATCGACAATGTGTACACACTCCCATATTTTTATTTATGATGCGCATCTCCTTACTGACTCTGCTCTATCACTTATACGCCGAGCTCATTGTGTTCTCTTCGTTATTATTTTCTTTTTGACTAACATAAGGATCATGTTCTGAGTATTACAAAAATAGTGTACACCTACTATTCCGCTGCACTTCACTGGTAAGGGAATGAGTATTACGGTTATCTAAAAAAAAAAAAAAAACAGAAATTCATTTAACCATCATAAGTACTTCTTGTTATAATTAAAGAATTGAACATTTACCGTTTTAAGTTTTGAAAACGATTTCCAAAATAATGTAATTAACAGGCTTTATCATTTGGCTGTCTGGCTTAAATTGTTGTTTAGGTTTATTTTCATCTAATTAACGAATATTTTTTTTTTTTGGAAGATAGGTGGTGTTGACTACGCTCCAGTAATTTCTTGATAAAAAGAACGTGATGTATAAGCCGTACAAGTGTTGTTTTTGCGATTAATCAATGTTTTAATGTGAATTTAATGAAAACTACTTGGAGATTTTGACTGCTTTCATCATCAGACATCAGATGGCCGGTGGTCCGCTAAATGGAATAGTTGGTTAGATGGTTTATGTGTTCGTTTTTTTGTTTTTTTTGCTTTTTTGGTGAAGTTATTCATAGTAGTAGTAGTGGTAGTAAAGGCTAGAGCAATGCCTGCCTGCCTGCCTGTTGGGCGCTGCCATGTTATGGCAATGATGTATTTCATACTATGCCACATTTTTTTAATATTATTTTTCGCTTTCGTGCTGTTGAGCTTTTTTGCAGTTTTATGGTGCCCGGTGTCGACTTGGCCTTTGTGTATGTGGGACTAAACGCACTTATGGTCTTGTGACTTTCGTGATGGTTGTATGATGAACCACCATTAACTTGCGACTGTTGGTTTTGTTCCATGTAGGATGCTTGACTTAGCTGGTGACACTTGGTGGCCAAATAACGAAATACCGATGCCACATTAACATCTTCCTTCACCGAGGTCCTTATCAGACGGCAATTCAATTGTTGCGCCAAGGTCTCCACTTCATCAGCTGTTACGACAGCCTGATCGATGAGATCGATTTTGTTCTGTACAATAACTGTGGGTATTTCTTGACATTCGTTTTCCACCTTACGCTTCCATTCGCGTATGGCCTCAAACGAGGCCCGGTCTGTTGTGGAAAATGTTAGGACGCAGGCCTGAGCACCACGATAATATGCTTTTGTAATGGCATCGAATTCTTCTTGACCAGCTGTATCCCATAGCATGATTCGCACATCTTCGCCATCGATTTCGATTTGTCGTTCCAGAAAATCCACACCAATGGTCTTTTTATAGTCCTTTGTGAAGATACCCTTGCAGTAGCGTTGAATCATGGACGATTTGCCGACACCGCCATTGCCAACAATCACAACTTTGATGGCAAATTCAATGTCATCCTCGCGCATTGTGTTAAACATTTAAACTTTGGTAGGTTCAAAAGGATGGTCGGTTAAAAAATGTTTTCTTTTAGCTTTCCAATGATCGCGAACAGTTCAATGTCTATATAGGTATTGATTACAAACTAATTTTTACACTCTCATTTAATGCAAATGCATATCACTACGATGAGATTATTCAGTTCAAAATGCTGATTTAATTATAGATTTTATAAAACGTCTTTAGTAATTTTTATATAAGTTTTGCATATTTATTAATTATAACATTCAATAATTTCGTATTATTATTTTTGAATATTTTTGCAAGTTTTTCTTCTCATTTGAATTACATCACTTTGTTTGTTTGTCCCCTCTTTGCGGTCAGTGGAAAATGTTGAAAAAAAAAAACGATATTGAATTTCACTTTTCTTTAATTGTTGGAAGCTCATGCGTACATAACTAGTTTCTGTGCAAACTATTTTGTTTTAAGTTTAGTAACATTCAATGTGGCAAACACACACACACAACTGGATTGACATTCTGGTATTACATTCATATCTATATCTATGTACGGTATACAAAAATATGTGTCTATTGCATCAAATCACAAACTAGTTCTCATCAAATTCTTACTTTGTCTCTTTATCAAAAAAAAAAAAAAACACTATGGTATAAATGAAACGATCATGGACGCTAATATCATGTTTACATCAACGTTATTGTCAGATTGCAAAGATAATTTATTTACATTTTTTTATATTTAAATTCATACTTTAAAGGTGAGAATACATAAAACGCTTTTTTTGACTGGCTTAAGTCATCAGCTTGCTTCTTCGGTAAAGAACAAAGGAGTGTAGGGTCAAAATCGAACTAGGTCAACCTAAAACTCCATTGTTCCTCTACGAAGACGCCAGCCCATGACTTAAGCCATACAAAAGCGTTTTATGTATTCCCACTTTAAGTCATCGGCTGGCTTCATCGGAAAAGAACAAAGGAGGTTAGGACAAAAATCGAACTAAGTTAACCTAAACCTCCTTTGTTCCTCTACGAAGAAGCCAGTCGATTACTTAAGCCAGTCATGAAAACGTTTTAGGGTGTAAACATGGTAGAAGAATATAGGTAGACGCATCGACACAGTTGCTGGGACAATGAACTGTCAAACCAATTTTGAAATTGAAAATGTTGAATGAAAATTTATTTAAATTTGCAAAAAAAATATTGAAAAACGCGTATTATAATAACCTCCGAATGCCGTTATATAAGAAAACATATAAAAATCTACTTATATTTGAAATTATATTTAAAAATTTTTGATATATCAATGTTTCCAAGCGTTGATGCATCTACCTGAATTCTTCTGCCATGGGTGTAAGTATATAAGAAGCTTGAAGTCATGGCATGATATTTCATAAATGGATTACAGAGCCGCACTAAAATCCTGTCGTCGTTTTCCATTATAATTTGACATTAATATGCCTAGACATGACTTAAAGCTTTTTACGTACTTGCACCTTTATGTATTCTCACATTAAGTCATCGGCTGGCTTCTTAGGTTGACTTAGTTCGATTTTGGCCCTACGCTTTTTTGACTGGCTTCTTCGGAAAAGAACAAAGGAGGTTAAAGCAAAAATCGAACTAAGTTAACCTAAAAATCCTTTGTTCCTCTACGAAAAAGCCAGCCGATGACTTAAGCCAGGCAAAAAGCGTTTTATGCATTCTCGCCTTAAGACTTTATCTGTGGCATGGCACTTGGGAACGTTGACGTGTCACATTTTTTAATATTTTTTTTTCAAAAATTAGTAGATTCTTGTATGTTTTCTTATACGACGCCAATCAGTGGTTGTTATGATAAACATTTTTCAATAGATTTTATATATTCCAATAATTTTTCTGCGGCCTTGATCTAACATATTCTGTAGTGGGATTTTCCAATTCATTTTTTGAGTGACCGACAAAAAATCGTAACGTTTAAATCCAAAGATCTGATATAAAAAATAAGTTACAGTTGGCAATTTTGGTATCTATAGGTAGGTCTCGTTTGTATATCACATCGTTTGTATGTATCACACGATATGTACAACTTCTACATATGGGAAAGTTAAAATACGTTTCGTCTGATACTGCCTTTAAAAGTATATATTACAGAATGAGACTTTACAACATAGTTGCATTTTTCCTATTTTTTCTAAGTTAAGTAATTTTCCCCTTTCCTGCATCCCTTGGAAAATAGTTCTCTCAGACTAGTTATGCCATTTTAAAGTACTAGAACATGGTAATTACTTTGATATATAAAATAATTAGGTATGACTGAAGACGCTATCAGACATGTCATGTCAAATTTTCCATATGTAAAAGTTGCACACATCGTGTAATACATGGATGATATTTCAGTAAAGTAAATATGTACTTTTTCGATCACAGCGAGCCTTATATTGATCGGAAAAATATAATTTAATCAAAAAGAACAGTGTGTTTGTTGGGGAAACCATAGTATTTTGTTGTTCCAAAATGGTCAAGCTTAATCCCATTATTGTTGTTTTTATAAAAACAACGTTTGTTTATTAGTGGAGAACGATGGTAATGTTTACCAGAGAGTAAGGCAGGGAATACCTAGGTTTCGGAAAGAGCCACAAATCCTCATCAGTTCTCTTATTTTATTTTTGTCTGGGATACACGGAAATACACATTCATAATAAAAATGACAGCAATAAAACATTATCGTCTGATAGCAGCTTAAAGGTGACAGCCCATATGAAACCCTACTTCTATTTGATAATGATAGAAGAATACAGGAGCAGCATTGACACAGATGCTGAAACAATGAACTGTCAAACCAATTATGAGATAGAAAAATTTGAATGAAAATTTATTCAAATTCGCTAAAATTGTTGAAAATGCATATCATAACAACCTCAGATAGGCGTCGTATAAGAAAACATATAAAAATCTACTTATTTTTGAAAAAAATAAATAAATAAAAATGTTGACATACAATGTTCCCAAGGGTTGATGCATCTTCTTGCCTTCTTCTAAATTACTTTCCCTTTATGATATCGAAGAAAGAGCAAATGCCTTTAGGGTTAACGAATTGGACAGTTTACATGTGACTTTAACTAATATGAACATACAATAACTCACAAAAAGTTAGGCTATGTTTGCACGAAACAGCTTTATAAAGTATATACACTTAATCATCATTTCTTTTGATTTATGTAATACGCATTTTCGCAAAAAGTCCTGTTACAAGAAATAATAGTTTTTTTTCCCACTTTTCTTTTCCATAGTTAGGTTTAATCATGGTACATTAAAAAGGTAAGGTAGAGCTACCAGCTGATTACAATTTTTTTCTAAGTGTGCCCGACGTCTGCCAATTTTGTGTATGTATTAATTGTTTTGAAAAATGGAAACAAAATATTTTCGAAATCATTGATTAAAAGACACGTAAGCGCATTAATGCTATTAACCAGTTTAGCCATGAAATTGTAAGATTGAACAGTTTGGATCATATCTTTGAAAGAAAATCCAGGCACTTTAATAATTTTTCGCAATATTTAACTCAAAATGGAAACAACTTGTATATAATTTTCAATGAGTCTAACAGAAAGCGGGCATAGCATCAGGGCTGTATTTTGTAGTTTTACGAAACAGTTCTACCTTCTTACTGTACCATGGGTTTAATTGTTTTTATTTTTAGTTCTTTCATGGTTTGAAACTTGAACATGTCATATGTCATATATGTTGACCCAGGCTTTATTTGAAGAACCAAAAACTTTGTTTACATCAAAAATTTTCATTCGAACAAACGATGTATTTGCATAAATTTCAAAAGCGTGTTGCTGGTTTAATACTGGAGCAGAAGAGATTTTAAATTGCTTATGGTTTTTAATCTTCACCCTTGTATACATAAATATGTATGAGTATTGAAAATTGTGCCAATGACCCGTGCTATGTCAAAACATTAATAAATTGTTTCAACACATCTCTCCCGTTATGAGACATAAAATCATGATATTTTTTTTTTTGTAACGCTCTTCTTATCGACTATAAATAATATGATCTCTTGCAGAAAATCATTTTGTGTATGTAAAAAAGCAAAATAGGACAACTGCATATTTGTAATTCTTCACCTGTTCGATATTGAGACGAAACGAAACAAAACAAGTTTTTTAGGTGTATTGAACTTTTTGATGTGTGTGTGTGTGCCAGCGCTCGCCCATTTGGCCACATTTGAAAGCATGCTAGAAACATTTGGTGTTGGAAAATTTACTATGTTTAAAGATGTGAGATCTTAATGAATTTTCATTTCTCTTTTATTATCGTTTTTGTTGGTCGTCGTTGCACACACACATAGCTAACAATATTCACTTTCTTTTTCCATAGATTTCTCTAGCAAAAGATCATGCATTGAAAGAGCACCATACAGTCATACCCCTATGTTATGTTGGAGAGTTAAAAAAAAAAAAAAACAAAGTTTTCCATGCGAAGACAGAGTTGGGAACAGGTTTAGATTCGATCATGCTTTACAATGCGTACTAACGCGTGAATGACTTTGGATAACATAAACATTTATCATCAGACATTGTACTTGGTCAGTTTGGTTGTTTCCCCCACCAAAACGGGATGTTAATTTGTTATAGTTTATATTTTATTTATACTAGCTTTGATCAGTATACAAATAGAACTATGCCAAACTTATACAATGTAGTATCATACTAAGATGTGATATATATTTTTTTAATTTAATTGATAACATCAAAATGTACGCAGAAAAACAATAAACAGAAATCGGGCCTTTAGGTCCCTATCTTGGCGCAATAATAAGGTTTAAACCAATTAGACGAATGAAATGTCGTTAATGTGTTGTTTATCTTTCGCACTACGATTCCAATCACAATAAGAGTTTTGACAATTAAATTAGTTGCATTTTTCCATGGTAGAAGAATATGGGTAGACGAATCGACACAGCTGCTGGGACAATGAACTGTCAAACCAATTTTGGAATTGAAAATGTTAAATGAAAAATTAAATTTGTAAAAATTGTTGAAAAACACGAATCTCCGAATGACGTCGTATAAGAAAACATGTAAAAATCTACTTATATTTGAAAAAACATTTAATTTTTTTTTACATATCAATGCTCCCAAGCGTTGATGTATCTACCTGAATCCTTCTGCCATGTATTTTTCCAAGTGTCTGTTCAGAACATGCAAAAATCTTCTAGTTTTGCAATTTTTTAATTTAAATTAAAAATGTTTACATTCTTGCAGTTCTAGAACAGGCCATTACGAATACAATATCTTCGGTATTTTAAAAATTTTATAGCTTTAACTGAACTCGTGCCCATTAAATGTTTTCATTGTCACAACAAACTAT